CCTGGCCCGACCCCTGCGTTAATGCAGGAGGGACAAGGACGTCATTGTGTGGGTGAAGCATGGGCCGTCGCGAGTGGAGTTCCCCATCCCCTCAGACCGCATTGCGCTGCACCACCTGCCCTACAGCACCCCTCTGCACCGCACTGCACAGCGCATTGTTGCCAGCCTGCCCAAGCCCCTCATTGCCGTGCATTACCGCTCCGAGTGGATCGCCTACAGAGTGGTGAGTGGTGGTGACTGGTGATGGGGGGTGGTGAATGGTGAGTGAGTGGTTGTTAGAGCGATGATAAATGCTGTTGAAGCAGGGCACAGCACAGCATATCGTTCCCCGCCTGCCCAAACCCCTCATTGCTGTGCATTACCTCTCCGAGTGGATCGTGCACAGAGTGGTGAGTGGTGAGTGATCGATTCAAAACTGTGCATTACCGCTCCTAGTGGATTGCATAGAGGGGTGGTGGGTGGTGAGAAATGGTGGGTGATGGTGAGGAGTGGTGGTGAGTGGCGTCTTTTCTGGTCTGAATGACTCGCACATTGAGTGGTGGTGTGCTGTCTGGAGAGCTAAGATGGTTCATTTTTGAGGCGCCTCAACACTTGACTCGCACACATTGAGTGGTGGTGTGCTGTGCGGTCTGGAGAGCTAAGATTGTTCATAGAAAGCCGCTGCCTTGATCCCTTCCGTATGTGATGAAACGATTTTCGAGTCAACTAAATGGTCGTCTCATCACACGTGGTGGTGTGCTGTGCTGTCTGGAGTGGAGAGGCAACGGTATTTATGGAAAGCCACTGCTTTGATTCCTTCCGTATCGTCCGACTCACCACAGGCAAGGACGATTGGCAAGGCGCCGTACGGGCAGAGCGGCGTGGGGAAGGGCGTGCAGCTGATGAGGTGGTGTGCAACCGTGTCATCCCACTCTCGCAGGCAAAGACGATTGTCAAGGTGCCGTACGGGCAGAGCGGCATGGGGAAGGGCGTGCAGCTGAAGGCATAATGTGATCTGTCCTTCCCCCTGCCGTGATCCACACCCAACCGTGTCATCCCACTCTCGCAGGCAAAGACGATTGCAAAGGCGCCGTACGGGCAGAGCGACGTGGGGAAGGGTGTGCAGCTGATGCGGTGGTGTGCGGAGCAGGCGGTTCACACCATCCTGCAGGCTCAGCGCAACTGCAGTGCTAACAGCAGCACCAACAGCAGTGCCAACAGCAGCACCAACAGCAGTGCCAACAGCAGTGCCAACAGCAGTGCCAACAGCAGTGCCAGCAGCAGCACCAACTGCAGTGCCAACAGCAGCGCCAGCAGCATCACCGCATCCGTCTACATCGCAGCCGACGTTCCTTCCACTGCACCCGTCCCTTCTCCTACCTACCCCTCCCTGGATAGTCATTTGAAAACGAGTCATCTTCCAGATAGCCCTTCCCCAGATACCGCCTCCTTGGAAGGCTCTTCTGTGAAAGCCCCTTCCCCAGGTGGCCCTTTGGACCATGGGTCTTCCACCCTGGCCATGTCTAATGGCACCATACACTCTGCCTCCTGGGCCAGCACCATAAGTGCATATGGAGGCGTGGGAAATGAGCGAGAGAGGCTTGTGGATGCGGCAGTGCAGGGGTTGCAGTTGATGAGGCGGTCTATAAAGGGGACGGTGATGATAGAGGAGCTGCTTCCAGAAGCCGGTTCATACGACCCTGGTGAGTGCCTTTGGCGTGCATGCTGAGAGCATGAGATTTTAAACGTCTCACAACTCTGAGTTTCTTTATTTCTCAAAATGGGACGGTGGTGATGATAGAGGAGCTACTCCCAGAAGCCGGTTCATACGACCCTGGTGAGTGCCGTGCCTTTGCCGTGCATGCTGAGACCTCAAAAAGCCACCTGAAATATGGTTGGTTCTGAGACGTCTCATCTCAACACCAACCTTTCTTGAGGGGACGGTGATGCTAGAGGAGCTGCTCCCAGAGGCCGGTTCATACGACCCTGGTGGGTGTCATGGGCTTGCTTGCTGAGATGCTGCCTTTGCTGTTGAGTCGAGGTGTATTTTGAGTGAGTCGACTCAAAACACACTTGAGTCAACTCAAATATGAAGCTCAAAGATTTGAGACGTCTTGAAACTCAAAATCCATGTGTCCTGGTTGTTGCTTTTGTCTTCTGCTTGGGCATGCTGCTGCATGTTGCATACTGCATCCTGCATACTGCATACTGCATACTGCATGCTGCATGCTGCATTCTGCATGTTGCATACTGCATACTGTATACTGCATGCTGCATGTTGCATACTGCATCCTGCATGTTGCATACTGCATACTGCATGTTGCATACTGCATTCTGCATGTTGCATACTGCATACTGTATACTGCATGCTGCATGTTGCATACTGCATACTGTATACTGCATGCTGCATGCTGCATGCTGCATGTGAGCTGAGCCTTCCTTTCTTGCTGTGATTCTATCAGCAGGTTTCAGCTGCAAGAATCACTCAACAGGCATGTTGTTTCACTCGATAGTGCACCGAGGGAAAGCTGTTGTATCTCTATTGGCATTTCCACGAGTTTGGTCTGATGTGTACCTCTGTGTGGTTTGAGTGCGTGCAGGACTGCTGGCAATTTTGGATAAGCTGGTTTGTGCACAAGCGGATTATTTCATTGGAGGCACTGTGGTTTGTGGGGGGAGAAGAGGTTTTGAAAGTGACATTCTCCAGCATCGAGCTCTTATAAAGAACGTTACACAAGAGAGGGATCTCAGATGGGGCACTGAAGATCCTCCATTGGAGCTACAATGATATGAGATGCATTATGGTTTTGACGACTATGTTGTAGAATGCTATGTATTACTTGGGCGTGTTCCTACGGCCTCATATCAGGAAACCTCGTATCAAGAATGTACTTTTTGCTTGGTCTAGGGGAATTTTCAGTGTGAGCCTGGTACGATGTTGTCTTGATACGAGGATAGGAACACGCTCTTATTGAAGTGAAGCACATCTTTTCCACAGCCTTGATATAGCATACCCGTAACCTCATGGAAAAAAGGTAGATAACCAACTTGGGGCACCCTTCTTTTTTCTTCTGGGTAAATCAAGTTGTCACCCTAGATGTGGACTTGTATTGCATCGATATTCTATTGACTTGAGGTAGCACACGCGTGTACAATATCTCTGTTATGTCATTTAGTCCGTTTCGCGCGCTTGTTGCGATTTACGGGTTACCAAAGTTCGTTTCTTCTCATCCACATTTGATGACTGGAGCGGAGCGACGTATTCGATACATGCACACATCCTCTGTAGTCTCTGGTGCAGAAAATTCTCCCCCTGGTCAAGCCCTTGAACCAGGCATGACCCGCAACCTTGCTTGTTGAAAATGCGGTTCATTTTCGATCAGGAGGTGCCCCTCCGAACCGAAGGTTCCACCTTTGAAGCGGGTTCTACACGGTTCAGTTTGAATCCGCGTTCGTTCAGTCCGGAAGAAAGCGCGTTTGTTCAAATCAGAACAGAATTCACGTAATGAAAATACTGTACACGGTGTTCGCAGACACAGAGCCACACACAAACACCACCCAACAAGATCCAATTCCATCTCCTCCGCGCCCACCATCCACCCACACCCCTGATTACTCCAGCCTTCCTCCGCCACCGATTTTGCCTCTTCAAACCTTTTCCTGTACTGCTAGCCTTTGGCCTCTAGGGTTTGGATTCTAGACCCGTATTGCGGCTCGTCCAAGCACAGCCTTGCTTTGCGGTCAGGGCTGTGTAACCCAGGCTGATTCATTGCGTTAGATCCTGCATTGTCGGTGTGTTCCTTGATCGGGCGTGTTCTTAATCCTGCATTGGCTTCGACTGAAAGGCTCGATGGTTGCGTTTTAGAAGCGGTTGTTGCTGGTGCCAGCAGAAAGGTTTCTGTCTTCCGTTACTGAATGTGCTGCTGCCTCCAGATAAGCCACAATGGAGGCGGACCTAACGAATATGATCGACATCGAGATACGGTGCGCCGGCAATGTGTTGGGAACGGTGGTGATCGATAAAGAATGGTCGCTATCTGCTGTGCGGACGGAGATCTTTGCCGTTTTCCCAGGAACGGCTCCAGAGGAGTTTGAGTTTTGGATCCACGGTCCAGGTGAGGAGCCGAAGAAAATCTCGCATCGTCGGGAACCGCATATTTCGGCTGCAGATTTCATGCCTCCTAAAGAATTGGAGATTAGAGCTTTAGACGACTGAGGGTTATCTGTTGGTCGTTATTTACACGTGCGCTCGCTTGTAGGGGAATTTTAGCTGGGGTTTTCCAAGTCGCCTCAAGCGATGTGAATCCACATATAGCATAGGAGGCGAGTTAATGCTGTTCGCGTCTTAGTAAATTTTATGATTTTAGTACTCTTTTGACTTCAATAGTTTTCTGGTGGTTTTTGCCATAAGGGTACTGGTATCTAAATACCCATCGCATAAAATTCTTTATCTCCCAATGAGAACTGCCAAGTGCTAACTGATAAGCTACAACGGTAGGTGATGCTTAGCTACAGTAATTGTGGTTGTTCTTTGTTCATCATCTACACAGGACTGGGCATGCTGCACATTTAGAAGAATGATATTGATAAGCAACTGAATGCTTGTGCACTGCATCTTCACATGCATTGCAGTGCAACACAGCAGCAATCCAAAACGAGCTGTACATGGAGAAAAATGGTGTTGCAGATGGATGCTGTAGGAGCTTCTGTATGTAGTGAGGAAAACCCATCACATTAGGGAGCCAGGCTGAGTTGTGAGGATGGAAAGCACAGCTACATGTCTACCATTGCTCAGCAAATGAGACGCCCTGTTTCAAGATGGCTACACATAGCCAACCACAATGTGAGCATCACAGGAATACCGTAATAAGGTGGCAGTGTGACAGATTAGTGCTGATAAACTTGCTACCTAACCAGCAGCACTACAAATCTACGATTCATCAGACTGGACATTTTTCTTGGAGCTAATACTTGGCCACATACAGGCTTCGCATTTTTTTTTTTAGGCGCCTAAAAAAGCACTATGAATCATCAGCTTGTGCATCTTTCTTGGAGCGGAAACTCGGCCACATAGGCTTCATGTTGGCAAGCCCACCCCACCGATTGCTCCCACTACCCGAATCCACACTGCCGCCTCCCCCACCGATGTCACCACCACCACCACCACCACCACCTCCAAAAGCGCCAAAACCACCAGCGTATGACCGTCTCCTGTTGCGAGAACTTTCAGAATTTCTTTTGTCTGGGGTTGCGAAGGAGCGCCGCCGGCCTATGGCTGCTAGAGACAGCCTGTGCTCGAACGCCACGTGAGGAGTGCTTTCACCAGCGGTAACAGCTGCACTGGCGGCTGCAGCAGGAGTGGCAGCAACAGCAGCAGCAGGAGAAGGAGCAGGAGCAGCAGCAGGAGAAGGAGAAGCAGAAGCTGCAGTGTTCTCCCCGCCGACTTCCAAATCTGCCACCTCACTGGTTGTCATGCCTTCAACTGCAGTGCTGCTTTTGAACATCGTCCGAGGCGACTCCACAGGTTCGGTCGCAGTGCTGCTTCGGAAGATGTTCCATGCGCCGCGCAGCATCGGCGAGAGAGGCTTGGAGAAGGTCCGGCGGAATTTGGAAGCGTCCTTGGCGGTGGATCCCTGTGAACTACCTGCCTCAGTGCCAGATGCACTCCTTTCCACACCTCCCACACCCCCCACAACCCCCCCACCTGGAGATGCACCTAATAAATCACTGCCGCCAAAATTGCTGACGCCAAAATCACCAAGATCAGTAGCCGAAGTGGCAGCAACAGCTGCAGCATCTGTGGCTGGTTTTCTCGCTGGCCCCTCAGCTCCTGCTGAGCTGGCAGCTGTCCCTGCTGAGCTGGCACCAGCAGAAATCTCGGGTATGCTAATCTCATTCTCAAAGACGATAGGGCGTGTAGAGAAGCCTGCTGCACCTCCTGCCAAGCCTCCTGCCAAGCCTCCTGCCAAGCCTACTGTGGGATTCGCAGCTGAGACCGTGTCTCCTGATGCTACTGCTGACACCATCGGTCCTGCCACTGCCGCTTGACCCCAAGCTGGTGCCACGGCTAGTGCCGAGGGGTGGCAGCGCGGGAGAGAGGAAGAGGGGGACGGCGACAGGAAGGAGGAGAGAGGAGTAACAGAGCTAGCAGCATTGGAAGGAGAGCACGTGGGACCACCAGGACGGCCTAGGGGGGCTAGACCCTGGCCCTGTGAGTGAGGAAAACCGTGCTGCTGCTGCTGCTGTTGCTGATGCTGCTGGTAGTGTTGATGCTGCTGCATCTGTTGCAATCCCCCACCTGCCCAGCCCCCCCCTGCATTCCCTGCCCCCACGGCCGCCCCTCCTGCTCCCCCACCACCACCAGCTGCCGCAGCAGAGACAGCAAGAGATGGCGGCGACAACTGCAGCAGCTTCAGCCGCTGTGCCGACGGCCTCCCAGCATGCATGCCTATCCCCATGCCCATCCCCATGCCCATCCCCATCCCCATCCCCATCCCCATCGCTCCACTCATCACCACACTCTTAGAAAACACATCCCCTGCCGCTCGGGAAAACGCCTGAGACCTGGTAGAGACCACGGGGCTTCCCAAGCCATACATGAGGCCTGAATTGGAGGGAGGGAAATCGCACCAGAGGTCCTCGTCCTCACTCCCTACTGAATCCGCCTCCCCACTCCCACTCCCACTGCTACACCTACCAACTCTCCCATCCCCTCCCCTGCTGCCGTTACAGGCGCCACCACCACCACCGCCACCGCCACCGCCACCGCCACCGCCGAGGGAATATGCTGAACCGCTAGTTCTGTTCTCCCCCACGGACGAATCTCCACCGTCCGTTTCCCTCCGGAACAGCAGATCCTCGCCGACCGATTTGCTCCGCCGCCGCCTCGCCTGCGGCGGCTGTCCTCTCGCCCTCCTCCTCCCCACCAGCGCTTCCCCCAAATCCCCATCCTCCACATCCCTTAGCGCGTCAGAAACTTCACTCATAAGACTCTCTCTCGCACTTAGCGCCTTCTTTCCGGTACTTATACTCATACCCACTGCTGCCCCCGACCCATCCGCATCCCTATCCGAATCCCCGCTCCCTCCTGCTGTCTCCTCGCCTGCCTGCGTGTCTGCCAGCGCAGGATTCGTTACAAGCCGCTTCGTTAGAAGGTACGCGTGCGGCGCGTCTGGATAGAGGTCCATACGCGGTTTAGGCAGGAGCTTGCCCCGAACAACCCACACTAGGTACTCTAAATGCGGCCCCAGTAGCTCCTGGTATAGGGCGGCGGAGTGGCAGGATGATCTCGACCGTTGGATGGGCCTGAGGAACGGCTGAGATGCAACAATGGGTTCCACAGCCTGTTCCCTTGCCTGCTGACTGTCACTAACTTTTCGGCTCTCTTGCTGCTCCTCTGTGATTGGTTCGGCCGTAGCAGCTGCACTAACTGCTGTATCTGCAACACCTACACCCGTAGCAGCTACGCTGGTAACCGCTGCTGCATCTGTAACATCTACACTCATGGCAGATGCACTGGCAATGGCTACAGTGCTAACTGTTTCACTCGCAACTGCTGCACTGGTAACTGCTGCACTGGTAACTGCTGCACTGGTAACATCCACACCGGTGCCTGGCGCTCCTGCAGTGGAAACCTCAGCTCGGTCCTGCATCACCTCTTGTGCCTCGGCCGAGCCTTCTTGAGCAGCATCCGAGCCAGACGCGTCTTCATCCACCCCAGAGGTTCGCCCTTCATCCTGCAGCACCGCTTGTGTCTCAGCCGAGCCTTCTTGAGCTGCTTCAGAAGACTTTTGAGACATCTCAAAAGTGGAAATCTCATCTCGTTCCTGCATCACCTCTTGTACCTCAGCCGAGCCTTCTTGAGCCGAGTTTTGAGTCGACCCTGAACTTGCCTCGGCCGAGCCTTCTTGAGCAGCATCCGAAGCAGACGCTCCATCCAATCCGGAGATTCGTCCCTCGCCTTGCAGCGGCTCGTGGGTGCCCTCTCGTTCCAATCCTGAGCTCTGGTCTTGGCCCGGCGGCTGCTCTTGTACCCGGGCCTGTGCCGAACCTTGGTCGTACTCCAGGCTCGGCAGCCAATCAAAGGCGGGCAGAGGGAGGTCCAGAGAGGGGTGGGGTAGCAAGCAGGAGAGGAAGGCTTGGCGCACGTGGGCAAGGAGGGAGAAGGCGTGGGGGCGGGCGAGGGAGCAATCAGTCATGGCGAAGGGGACCAGGCCGTCCGAAGCGGGGGAAAAGAGCAGATTGGTGCGCCCGTAGCCCTGAGGGAGTTGGTTGGGGGGAGAGAAGGGAGGAGGGGAAAGGGGGGGAGCAAAGGGAGCACAGAGGAGGGTGGAATGGAGGCAGGAGTCAAGAGGCAGGAGGCAGCAAGCAGCAGGCAGCAGGCAGGAGAGGAAGGTGTGGCGCACGTGGGCAAGGAGAGAGAAGGCGTGGCGCACGTGGGCAAGGAGAGAGAAGGCGTGGTGCAAGTGGGCAAGGAGGGAGAAGGCGTGGTGCAAGTGGGCAAGGAGGGAGAAGGCGTGGGGGCGGGAGAGGGAGCAATCCGTCATGGCGAAAAGGACCAGGCCGTCAGGGGCGGGGGAGAAGAGCAGGTTTGTGCGCCCGTAACCCTGATGGAGGGGAGGGGAGATGGTGGGGGGGTGGATGGGAAGGGGAGGAGAGAGGCAAGCAAGCGGGCGAGGGAGCAGTGGGACATGGCGAAGGGCACCAGGCCGTCAGGGGCGGGGGAGAAGAGCAGGTTTGTGCGCCCATAGCCCTGGTAGGGGGCGAAAGAGGGGTGGGGAAGAAGGGAGTGTGGAAGGTAAAAAGAAGAGGAGCAAGCAAGTGGGAGAGGGAGCAATCTGTCATAACGAAGGGGAGGGGACCAGGCGGTCAGGGGCGGTCAGGGGCGGTCAGGGGCGGTCAGGGGCGGTCAGGAGCGGTCAGGGGCGGTGAGGAGGTCAGGCGAGATGAGCAGGTTGGTGCGCCCGTAGCCCCCAGGGAGAAGGGGGGGGGTGGAGGGTGGGAGAGGAGCAAGTAGCGCAGGCAGGAAGCAAAAAGGCGAGAGGTGGCGAGGAACTGGGGTGAGGAGAGCAGGATGGTTTTTTGGAGGGATTGTCATGGAGCATAAGTTCTGAGAGGGTGTGAAGAATGGAAGAGGAGGGGGGAGGAGAATGGCAGAGAAGGATCGGAAGGACCACGGCAGAAAAGGCTGGGAGGAAAGAATGGGAGAGAGAGAAGAATGAGAGTGGAAAATGGGGAGACGAACGAGAGAGAAGAATGGAGGAGAGGAATGGGAGCGGAGAGGAATTGGGGAGAAAAAATGGGGTGGGAAAAATGGGGGAGAAGAATACGAGAGAGAGAGAGAGAGAGAGAGAGAGAGAGAGAGAGAGAGAGAGAGAGAGAGAGAGAGAGAGAGAGAGAGAGAGAGAGAGAGTAGGATATGAGGGTTTTAGAGGCTGAGGTGCATTGCTTTTTATAACCTTGTGCATGTCTGTACCTTGCTCGGATCTAATACACGGACCGCTTGAGAGAGAGAGAGACAGAGAGAGCCTGCGTGCAGCAGAAGGGGCAATGAGAGGTCAGAGGCAGGCAAACTGTGGCCGTGGGGATGGGAAACGGGGGAAGCGGAAAGCGTAGAGGCTAGTGAATCGACTTTCGAGTCGATTTCCCGGTAATGATACACTCTCACTCCCCATGTAAAGTGATGAGCTTCCCCATTACGTGAGGCTTAGGTTGGTGCACTTCCTTATAGCCATCCCGTAATCGCACCAACCTAAGCCTGACAAACTACCAGGTTCTAACCAACAATTGGTGCGTACCAGCGAGTATCTGCTGACGTGGCATGGCAGCTCCAGAATCACAGCAGACAGCAAGGTTCCGAGAACCTTCCTCTGCTTCCCATGATCCACGAGAACCGCGCCGTCCGACCGCCGACCAATCCCCACGTAGAACACCAGCTGCGCCTGCCCGTCCTTCGCGCCGGCACTCCTCTTCCCTCCGCCGCTTTTCACGCCGCTCCCGTCGCCGTCGCCGCGACCTCCAGCGCGGCCGTCGCCGCCGCCGTCGCCGTCCTCGCGGGCGACGCTGCTTCTTTCGCCCCAAACGTCGTCTGCGACGGTGCCTGCTCGGCGAAACGCGGCTTCATCGGTCGCAGCGGAAACGGACGATCGTCCGCACGACAGCGCGGAGAGGCGCGGAGGGGGAAGCCTCGCCGCAGCCGCAGCTGCCGTCGCCTCCGCTGCTGCTGTCGCAGCAGTCGCGAATTTCGCTAATTTCGCCGTTTCTCCAGCACTCGGCGTGTCTAAGACAGAGTGGCTGGTTGACGGAAACCGAGATTCTCGGCACCCGTTGACGGAAAACGTCGAAGCAAACGACAGCACGGTAGCTCTCTGCGGCACCACTGACTGCTGCACCTTCGCGTTGCTCCTGCGACTCATGCTGAAACTTTGGGATGCCGTGCAATTCTGTGCGATTCTATGCGACCCTATGCGACCCTAGGCGACGCTGGCAAACCCTCAGTACCAACACCGTGGCACTACAACTGATAGGCTTGGACGGAATTGGAGTCACTTCTAAGAAATTTACTACTGACAGGCTTGGACGAAATTCGCACGTGGGTGCGGGAGGAACAGAAGAGGGACCATAGATATGGACGCTAGTAACTATTGTGTGTGCAGCGAAGGGTAACCATAAGACCTTCATAATGAGAGTCTCGTGGCAGAGTATAGTGATCCACGCCTCTCATTCATTAATCTACGCCCCGCATTCCGTGCTAAACCACGCTTTCTGCATCACCGAGAAGTGTCTCAACCACACAAAAGAATGGCTGGAGAAGTGAGGGAGCCATAAAAGAGTGGGGAACTCAGGGTGCGTTCCTGGTTCGTGGCAGGGCCACTGTAGATGGCAGCCTGCCACGAACACATAAAACGCCAGGTTGGTGTCAGGAATTTTGGCGCGCAAATACAGGTGCGTGATTGGGCAATGTCCCAAAAATGTCATGTCAATTCCACCAAAATCGTGTCGCGCGCGACTCGGGCAAAATGTTGGTGGCATGCGGTTTTCCCGCATGCCACCAACAGTGCCTGCTACAGTGGCCCTGCCACGAACCAGGAACGCACCCTCAGGCACAGGGATTTGTTTCAATTCGAGTCTCATATGATGCTGCAGAGAGTTCTCGGGAAAGTAACACGTTGGGGGATGTGCAATCAACCTGGCATAAACTTGCTGGTTGTGCTCTGAATTCTATCGCACTCTGATACACTGGAGGTTTTGCGAAGAACGAGAGTGATGTTACCACCTGTAAAAGTCCGTTTCGCAGCGGGCAGGTCGGAGGTTCATTTTGTCGCCTTTCTGCTACGTGCATAAACAAAACTGTGGCTGCCCGCCAAAATCATCGACAAGAACCGTCGCAAGGAGACTCGTGTGCATCGTCGATTTTTGGGACGTAGATCGTGATCGTCGATCGTAATAGCTTGACAAGCGAGACGACTTGATGCGTATCTCCACTCCACGGGCCGGTTGGGTCAAGGGCAACGTTTCGTTTCGTGATTTCACATGTCCTGTCACTGTACGTAAACACTTCGTTACAGTACGTACCTGTATCGAACGAAGAGGGCCATTTTGTGGCTAGCTTTGAGCGAGGGTTTCTACACTGATTAAGAACAGTACGGAGCGGTTGAGTAAAAGCACCTACCCACATCACGCATAACGCATCTCCACGAATGTGTCCAGCATCTGTGGTGTGTGGAGAGCTCCCTTTAGGGGGGGGTCTTTTGGTGTAGACGTTCAGAAAAAAGGTCTCTTTTTGTTAGAGGGGTGTTTACTGTTCATTCCGAACAGTACATTCCTAGTCACCATTATCCTTATCTTCTCAGATTCTCTAGTGCCACGTGGCACTCTACTTTTCTTGCACTCCAATTCTTGGTCCCACATTCCACTTTCCAACCTTGTTTCTTGCATGCTATATAAACCTTGCTTGTACTTGCCATTATCAATCAATTCTCATTCAACTCTTCTTCAATTACTCAGTAACTTCTTCGCCTATTTCGCCAATAGTTCTTTCGCCAAAGTCTTCCGCCGCGTTTCATCCTCGACTTAGTCGACCCCGCTAATTCTTTAGCGGACTTAGGCCGTCGGGCCTAACACTTGGTATCAGAGCCTTCACGGGGAGCGACTTCCAACGAGCGACCGTCGACGACGAGACTACGACGTCATCGTCCCGCGGTGCCGACTTGCAGACTTGGAGTCGTTGAGCGAACATGGACGAAACCATGCACGCAGTCCCCCACGACATGGGCAACACGCTTGCCGAACTCATGCGCCAACTTCAAGAGTTGACGCTGGAAAATCGACAGGTACGAGCTGAAATGCAACAGCTTCGTGAATTGGCTTCTAACCCCTATGATCATGCCACGCCAACTCTTGCGCCCAACACGTCGACTGGCGCGGAAGCGCTGCCGGAACGTCGAAGCGCACTCAAGCCGCAGAAACCCGAGTCGTTCGACCCAAGTCAACGCGACGCGAACGTGCGGACGTGGCTCTTCATGCTGAACAACTACTTCGCCGCGAGCAGGGTGCAAGAGGCGGACGCGCAGCAGCGGATCGAGTACGCTGTTACACTGCTGGAGGCCCGGCCTTGGAGTGGTAGCGCCAACTCACTCAAACTGCTGTAAGAAGGGCTCAGACGGACGGGCATCAACAGGGCGTGGGGCATGCAGCTGCAACTTCGAGTTTAGGGAGTTTAGCTTTGGGTGTTACCACGGTTCCGACCACATGGGAAGGATTTGAAGCGGCGCTGAAAAGTAGGTTCGATTTGGTGAACGCCTCCGAAGCTGCTAGGAAGCGTCTGCGTCATTTCCGACAGATAGGCAACGTTCAGGAGTACACACGACGGTTCTTGAGCATCTGCAACGAGATAGACGATATCACGGAAGCAGAGATGCGCGATCGCTACCTCGAAGGGTTGAAGCCGGACATAGCGGAAGTCATTGCGATTCACGGGTTGTCCACCTTCGAGTCGGTAGTCGCAGCAGCAGAACGCGTCGACGCAGTACGAAGCCGACGGGGTCGTGTCGATCGCGATAGGGGATACAACAGACCGATCAACGACGCTCGATCGAGGACGGACCATCGCCCATGGAGATTGGTGCAGTTAACAGTGACGGCTCACAGAAAATGGGATTTAGGGGGAACTGTCACTAATGCAAAAAGCCGGGACACATGAAGCGAGACTGCCCACAGCTTAAGGAGCGGCAGCAGGGAAACGGAAACCGCCAGTAGATAGCGGGTCGCTAGCTGGTGTGGAGGTTCCCGAACCCGCCACGTCTACCAACGTAGAGGAGACGGCTTTGCAGCAGTCATCTACGGAGAACGAGGTAGACACTGTTGATCGTCCAGTCGTGCTTCTAGGGAAGCTTCGCGGAGTTCCTGTTAAGATTCTCGTAGATAGCGGAGCTAGTCCCTCGTTCGTCTCTTCATCGTTAGTTTCTCGTCTCCATCTCGAAGCAGATTCAGCAGTCAACTTCAAGGACGCTCGCATGGTAGATGGGACGCCACTTCACATAGGACCGATCATCCGCAAGTTGCGCGTAGTGCTAGGACCGATCACAGTCAGGCGTGATTTCGACTCTGCGACGCTGGACGGATACAATTTTATCTTCGGGAGAGATTGGCTACGGACGGTTAGTACTCAGTTCGATTGGGCTCAGGGAAGCTGCAGCGTCAAGGTAGACGGGGAGTTCCGGGAGCTGCCACAGTGGAGCGATGGGGCCACATCATCCACAGCTATCATTAATGCTGTTCGTGTGCGACAGTTAGTGAAGCGTGCGGCACGGATCTTCGCGGTTTTTCTTGAGGAGGTGGAAGCTGAGGAGGGGAAAGGAGGGAGTGCAGCAGTTAGTGAGAAGGCGACTCTTCCTGCTGAGGTGAGTGCACTATTAGCAGAGTTCGCAGACGTCTTCCCCGACGAGTTGCCCCCAGGGTTGCCTCCCAGCCGAGCAGTAAACCATCGAATAGAATTGGAGCCGGGGAGCAGGCCAGTAGCGAAGCCGCAGTGGAGGTTGAGTCCAGCGGAGACAGAGGAGATGACGCAGCAAGTTAGGCACTTTCTCGCACAGGGTTTCATACAGCCATCTAGATCGCCTTGGGCCGCACCGATACTTTTCGCACCCAAGAAAGACGGAGGGTTACGGATGTGCATAGATTACCGCGCACTGAACGCCGCCACCGTCAAGAATAGATTCCCGGTGCCGAGAGTAGAGGATCTTCTCGATGCAGTGCAGGGCGCTAGAGTCTTCTCAAAGATCGACCTTCGTTCGGGTTACCACCAGATTCGAGTAGTTCCAGAGGACCAGCACAAGACGGCGTTTCGTACGAAGCAGGGGTTGTACGAGTTTAGGGTTCTACCGTTCGGATTGACCAGCGCCCCAGCGACGTTTCAGACGCTCATGAACACAGTCCTCTCCGAGTTCCTAGGGTCGTTCGTTGTCGTTTACCTAGACGACATCCTAGTGTTCTCTAAGACGAAAGATGAGCACGTGCAACACTTGCAGAAGGTCTTCGAGGTCTTACGGAGGGAGCAGTTATACGCTAAGCAGTCGAAGTGCGAGTTCTTCCTTCGAGAGGTCGAGTTCCTAGGACACGTCGTATCTGCTAGTGACATTAGGACTGACCCGAAGAAGATCGCAGCAGTACAGGATTGGGTAGCACCGACCTCAGTCAAGGAGTTGCAGAGCTTCCTCGGTTTCGCGAACTACTACCGTCGTTTCGTTCAGGGTTACGCATCGATCGCTAGTCCACTCACCGACCTACTTCGGAAGGGCGTAGAGTACGTTTGGGGTCCAGCGCAGCAGCAGGCGTTCGAGCAGATGAAGCAGTCGCTCACGTCTTCACCGACACTGTCGTACCCTGATCCCACTCGCCCATACGTTGTAGTGACCGACGCTTCCGATCAGGCCATAGGAGCAGTGCTTCTTCAGGACCAGGGACGCGGGTTGCAGCCGATCGCGTACGAGTCGCGTAAGCTTAGGGGAGCGGAGTTGAACTATCCCATCCACGACAAGGAGGCGCTCGCGATCATCCATGCGTATAAGGTGTGGAGGTGCTACCTAGAGGGGGCAGATAGTGTTATACGCACGGACCACTGTTTGCTTCGTTTCCTCAAGTCGCAGCCGCAGCTGAGTCGTCGCCAGGCTAGGTGGATGGAGTTCATGGAAGGGAGCTTTCACTACAGGATAGAGTACAAGCCAGGCGTGCGCAACCCAGCAGATCCGCTCACTCGCCCTAGTTGTCAGCTCGCCAGTCTCACAGTCACTGCTGGCCACCCACTTCTCACAGCACTCTTTGAGCACGGTTACACAGTAGATCCCGACTTCACACCGCAGCCGCCCGCAGGAGCAGAGGTGCAGGGTAGTGTCTACATACGGAAGGGTACCACACGGATTTGGGTTCCAGCCTACCGCCCTCTTCGACAGCTCTTTCTCTCAGAGGCGCACGACGTAGTTAGTGCAGGGCACTTCGGAGCAGATAAGACGGCTAAGACGCTTAGTCGCACGTACTACTGGCCCGGGCTTGCAGTAGACGTAGAGGATTACATTCGCTCGTGCGACACGTGTCAGCGTACGAAGTCCTCTCGCCAGCGCAAAGCAGGACTCTTGCAGCCGATTCCACCGCCCGACCGCCCTTGGCAGGTAGTTACCATGGACTTCATCATGGCTTTACCGCGCACAGTTAGGGGTCACGACGCCATCTTCGTAGTAGTGGATAAGTTTTCTCGAGCAGCGCATTTCATCCCCACGCACGGCAAGGTCACGGCAGAGGAAGCCGCGACGCTGTTCGTACATAACGTAGTCCGACTGCACGGGGTTCCAGATTCCATCACCTCAGACCGCGACCCTCGTTTCACTTCGAAGTTCTGGAAGCAGCTTTTCGCACTGTTTGGGACTCGCTTAGCCATGTCGTCTGCGTACCACCCAGAGACAGACGGACAGACCGAGCGTGTGAACCAGACCTTGGAGCAGATCCTTCGCAGCATCACGATGCACGACGCAGCCGCATGGGACAAGAAGCTGAGCATGGCAGAGTTCGCCTACAACAACACGCACCACTCCGCCACAGGCATGTCACCGTTCTTTGCACTTTACGGTCAGCACCCCAATGTCCCCACTCGTGTCGATCTCACACCCACAGTCCCTCGTGCGGACAACTTCCACCAGCATCTCACCTTCATTCATGATCACGTGAGGAAGCACCTTGAGCTCGCAAATGCACGCATGGCACGCACCACCAACCGCAGTCGTCGTGAGGTGTCGTTCGCAGTCGGCGACCGTGTTCTCTTGGATAGCCGCAACCTCCGACTGCCACAGGACAGCAAGCTTCGTCCACGTTTCATTGGTCCATTCGTCATTGAGCGCGCACTAGGTCCAGTCGCATACCGCCTTCGCCTTCCCGCACATTTCCGCATGCATCCGTCATTCCACGTGTCTCTCCTTCGCCCATACACCGATCCCAATGCCACCTTCTCGGGCCGTGATCGCACTCCACTGCCGGTAGCTGCTGACACCGACGAGCCCGACTACCAGATCCAGCGCATCCTCAGGCATCGTCGCCGTCTCCAGGGGGGTGTCACTTTCATCGACTTCTTGGTTCGTTGGCGTGGTTACGACGTAGCAGACGACAGCTGGGTTCCTTCGTCCTCGCTGTCTCCTGACAACGTTTGCCTCCAAGCGTACCTTCAGTCTGCAGGCGCCGCGGACGTCGCCTCCTTGGGCGGGGGGTAGTGTTAGAGGGGTGTTTACTGTTCATTCCGAACAGTACATTCCTAGTCACCATTATCCTTATCTTCTCAGATTCTCTAGTGCCACGTGGCACTCTACTTTTCTTGCACTCCAATTCTTGGTCCCACATTCCACTTTCCAACCTTGTTTCTTGCATGCTATATAAACCTTGCTTGTACTTGCCATTATCAATCAATTCTCATTCAACTCTTCTTCAATTACTCAGTAACTTCTTCGCCTATTTCGCCAATAGTTCTTTCGCCAAAGTCTTCCGCCGCGTTTCATCCTCGACTTAGTCGACCCCGCTAATTCTTTAGCGGACTTAGGCCGTCGGGCCTAACACTTTTTCTGGGTCCTGTAAGCTTTCGATCCTGCGCAGGATCGATCGTTCAAAAACGAAAGAGGTGACGCGTCCTCAGAACGCCATCCAAAAAGAAATCCAAATTGAAACACGGCAACAACCCAACCCTCGCAAATGAATCAGAAGACCCCACGACCAGAGCGTGTTATAATCTCATTATCCCCAAAAAACCTACCCAACCGTTTTGATTCATGTTTTTTGTTTGGTAACTCCAGAACCGTTCTTAACCGGACAAAGATGGACACTTATTTCCCACTGAGTATTTTCTGAGGACGAAGGTACTGGCCTATTCCGGGCCGCGCCTAATTACCTGTCATAAGTGCTTGCCTCTTCTCGGGAAGACCACCATATCGTCGGCTAGCCATTCTCATCCTGCAGGCATTGGAGTCGCGTGAATTAACTGGTCGATAAATAATGCCTCAGGTAAGATCAACGAGCTGGACGAATTTCGCACGATTTTCGCGAATCGTTCGGGACAGACATGGATCTTTATCTGAACAAGCTTATGACTACATGTTGCCGAACGTAATGACGAAATATTATAGTGAATCATTTCGTCTGACAACGCACGCAGGCTTTACAGTGAGTCGTTTCGTGACCGTTCATATGTTCAACGATCGATCCGTGCCTGACATGCAGGTTCGGCAGCTGGTTCGGGGTACGGGAAGCGAGGCGACCGCTAGCGCGTGGAACGGATCGCGAACGCGATGGGCGGCCGGCACGGCGGACGGCGCGCTGCAGATCTGGGAGCGCTGCGACGACGGCGCGGAGCGCGGACCGCTGAGCCTTTCCGCGAGCTGGCAGCTGGGGGGAAGCGGCGGAGGGGAAAAAACAGGTGCGCGGATCGAAGGAGCTCGATCCAATTCGTTTAGATCAATATTTTAGGGGGTTGGGGGAAGGTGGAGGGGGGGAAAGGGGTACGGGGTGGAAAGGAGGGAGTGAGGGAGAGGAGGCGGAACGAATGAACGGGGACGCGAGGAGTGAAGGGAAATGCATGAAGGAGATGCGCATGCAGCTGTGCCAGTGACCCTCCCGTCCCCTCTCCCTCCCGCCTTTCCCCATACCCCACTTCCCCCCAGCAGCAGCAGCGCACGTGGTTTGGGCGCCACAGGAGTTCGGGGGAAAGCTGGCTGTGGCGTGCAGGGGGGGTGCACGTGGGGTGGGCGTGTAGCATTTGGGCAACAAAGCCCTCTACCCGCGGCTCGCCCTCCTTTTCCCTTCCTCCTTCTCCCCCGCTTGCCCCCAGCAGCAGCAGCGCACGTGGTGTGGGCGCCACAGGAGTTGATTTTTGAGTCGACTCAAAAATCAACTCGTGGTGTGGGCGCCACAGGAGTTCGGGGGAAAGCTGGCTGTGGCGTAAAGGGGGAATGCACCTTCTGTGGGCCCTGCAGCAGCTTGGAATCAATGCCCTCTTCCCGCCCTTTCCCTTTTCACCCTTCCCCACTTGCCCCAGCAGCAGCAGCAGCAGCGCATGTGGTGTGGGCGCCGCAGGAGTTCGGGGGAAAGGTGGCTGTGGCGTGCAGGGGGAGCAGCCGCGTGCACATCTGGGGGGAGGTTGGGGGCGCGGGGGACGGGGAGGATGGGCGGAACAGGGCCAGGGGGGGAAACGGGGGGGATGGGGGGAGTGGAGGGAGTGGGGGCGGCAGGGAAGAGCGGAATGGGGAGGAGAGGAATAGAGAAGGCGGGCAAGACACTGAAATGGGAGGAGGAGGAGGGGGCGGAAGGGGAGGAGGGGGCGGAAGGGGAGGAGGGGCCGAAGCTGACCAATCAGGAGCAGGTGGAGGTACCCGGTGGCGGCAGGTGGCAGTGGTGGATGTGGGAAACATGCTGCTGAATTCTCTGAATGGGGCTGCTACTAATGGTAGTGCTGCTGCAGCTGCTCCCAGTGCTGCTGCTGCTGTGTTGGCTCTGGCGTTTGCACGCAGCACTTTCACCGACCCTCTGCTGCTGGTGAGACTGATTGCACTCCACTTGGTTCAGGTTTTTTTAGTGCGCGGTTTGGAGAAATCTCAAATATGACTTTGCCATCGTTGTCTGCTGCTGTTACTGCTGTTGCTGGCAGGTGGCAGTGACATCGGAAGGGAGAATGGTGGTGCATCGCTGCAACGACTGCCTCGCCCTCTCTCATTGGTTGCTTGAGGTACTTCCATCCATCCATCCATCTCCCTTCGTCGTTTTCCCTCTCCCCGTCTCCTCCTTATCCTCCTCTCTTCCTTCTCTCTCCCGCCTCCCACTTCCTTTCACACCAATCCGCCTTTTTATTCTCATCCTCATCCCTTCTCTTTTTGCGTTGCTATGTTCTGCCCTTCCATACCTCTTGAGTACTTTCTGCTTTGCTGTATTCTTCTACGTATCGTGACGTGACACAAGCCCAGCTGGTGGGAAAAAAAAATGCTTACCTTTCTAAACCTATGCAGGCTGACGTGGCACTGTTTCCATACGCTGACGTCAGCATGGGCAAGGAGCTGCTGTCACGTGCGATCATAGCCGTCCATCCGTCCACGCGTGCGTTCGGCCAATCACCAGCTGTAGCCATTGCCACGTGTGCAGCAGCAGGCAGCAGCAGCAGCAAGGGTGTCAGCAACACTGCTAAGGTTTGTGTAGTACTAGAAACGGTCTGGGGAAACGAGCGCTTGAGACAAGGGAAACAAGTGAGTGAGGGAAGGGAAACAAGTGAGTGAGGGAAGGGAAACAAGTGAGTGAGGGAAGGGAAACAAGTGAGTGAGGGAAGGGAAACAAGTGAGTGAGGGAAGGGAAACAAGTGAGTGAGGGAAGGGAAACGAGTGAGCTGGGGGAAGCGTTGTTTGTGCTGCCAGTAAAAACAATATCGTGAGGCCTTTCGATCAGACCTGCTTGTTATGTCTTTGTTTGTTGTGCCATTTCTCTGACTGTAGAATTTGTGTCCCTCACTCACTCCCTTAGCATCCCTTTTGCCTTCTCTCATGCCCTAAAGCTCCTGCTCACTCCCTCTCTCCCTTTATCTCCCACTCCAACTTGACACATCCTATCATCCATGCTCACAAATATGCACAGCGATTACTACATGTGCGGCCATTCTATAACGGGTTTTCTGCCTAACCTCTCACTCCCTGTCACTCGCTCTAACTCAGTGTCACTCCCTTCATTCCTCAACTATGCATGCATGCACACAGGTGTGGGTGCGCAGTGATCGCTACATGCACTGGCATGCCATAGCAGACCTCCTACCAGCCGCCTCTGCTACCACAGCGGCCAATCAATCGTTGCCACCTGTCACGAGCATCGCTTGGGCGCCCACCCTAGACAGGCATGCCTCTCCTTGCCCTGTACGACTGTAGGAGAGTCATGGTTTACTGGTTGGTTGTCATTTTGAGTCCAAAAGTCATCTCAAAAGTCAGAAGTAAACTTTTTAGTCGACTCAAAAGTCAAAAGTCAACTTTTGAGTTGACTCAAAAGTCAATTCAAAAGTCAAAAGTCAACTTTTGAGTCGACTCAGAAGTCAACTTGAGTGCCCACCCTAGACAGGCATGCCTCTCCTTGCCTTGTATGAGTGTAGGAGAGTCATGGTTGATTGGTTGGTTGGTTGTCATGGCTGGCTGAGTCGTGGTAGGAACGATTCCATGGTTGATTGGTCTTCATGTCACTCACGGCTGTATGAGTGCAGTGCAGTGGAGACATGTATCCATGCACAGACCAGTTCATTGTGCTCTGCACCGCATTGCACCGCACTGCACTGTGCCCTCGTGCACGCATAGCATAGCAGCCCATGCGTGCACGCATCCGTGAAACCACTTCCACTCTCCTTTCTCATCATCTCTCGCAAGTCTCGTTTTCCACCCCTTCACCTCCTTTCGCTACGGCGCTCACCCAATCCTACCTAGGGGTTCTGAAAACAGCTCACATGCAGACAGACCTTTGCATGGGTTCACCTGTGTTAGCCTTCGAGTCGACTCAAGCACACCCAGTCGTACCTAGAAGCTCTGTAAACATCTCACATACAGACAGACACATGCGTGTGTTACTGATGCCCTCTCTCCCCCCACCACCCATCCACCAATCTGGTCGCTTGTTGTCGCAGCTTCCTGTCCCATTCTTTCCTTGCCTTGCGTCTCCCTTCGACCTTTGAGAATTTTTAAAAGTAACACCAATATAGCTTGCCCTTCGTACTATCACCAAACCAGTTCCTGTCCCATTCTTTCCCCGTCCTAAGTCTCCTCCAATCCAACCTCCCTCATTCCGCCTGAACCCTCCCCCCCTCCTCCGTCCGTCTGTCAACCCTCTCCCATTCCCCATTCCAAACATAATCAGACCTTTCGATGTCGTTGCCTTAGCTGCTGTCTCAACTGTTCATCTGGTCCGGATAGACTATCCCAACCAGCCTGGCTCGGCACAGCAGTTTTCTGAGCCGCAAGATGCCATGGGTATGGGAGACGTTACTGAGGCTGGGAGTTACCGTTCCAAGCCTTCCAGGGATGCAGTTCAGGTTCGGCATGTGGCTCGGTTGACCTCCTCCAGTTCCTCTCAGGTAAGACAGATCACCTACCCACCTCAAGGTTTTTTTCACCTGCATCTTTTCCCCTTTTGCTAAAAACTCTTTTCTTTATGGTGGACGGTTGTAACTCTCTGTGAGGCTGGAATCTGCAGCTCCATACCGGACCCATTTTGAATTCTGCCATTGTGTTGCGTGTGTGTTTTTCTTCTGCTTTTTTCCTTCCTTCCTTCCTTTCTTTCTTTCTTTCTTTCTTTCTTTCTTCTTTCCTTCCTTCCTGTTGTAATTAAATTGAAAGCAAACAGCCAGCTGTCCTTTGATATACGTACGCTTCATGCCGTCTATGTACTGTTATCTTCCATCTTTCCTCGTACTGCGAAACTCCCCGTCTATCCCTACAGGTGCATCAAGTTTCCTGGGACCTACTAGGCTGTAGCCTGGCAACAGTGGGAGCCGATGGTGTAGTAACGGTGTGGAAACAGAGTGCAATGGGAAAATGGGTCGGGCATCCTGTATACACCGCAAATTAGTGCCACCGGTACATGGTAGATGGTAGTTGTTGCAAGCAAGCATATCATCCTACCAATGCAATTCGAGCAATGAATGATCAGAAAACTCTCTGTTATAATCTTCATGAAACATGTAAGTGACCTTTACTGTAGACATTTGTTAGTGGGTACCTACCTAGGTTGTCGCGTCAGCTGGTTCGGCATGCGTTCTCCCCCCGAACCACCTCGCCTCCGCACCTTTGGCTATCCTTTCGAGCCTCGCTACCCGAGCCGAGGTCCTCGGCTAGCTCAACTCTGCCTATTTTACCTCGTTATTCACTCTTCAGTAGTAGTCTGTAGCTTGTGACCGAGTGCATTTCAGCTCACTTGTAAAACTCGCGTTCTCATAACAAAACTGGTTCACAACTGTCATATTTGAATCTGCGCCGCGAACAGCAGGGCTGGATATTAGGATTCTTTCTCTACGTCCGAGACTTGACAGACAACGCTTTTCTAAAATCTCCGCATCTGACGCCGCTGTTGTCGATATTGTTACGGTGTCAACGAACTGTAGGGGCCCTGAGTTTTAGGCTCGTCCCGGCGTTAGGCTCAGGAGTCAGGACACCACTATGGCACGAGCAGAGTTATTCCGGTATTTTTATACATAAAGCCGTACTTAGTTAAGCGCGACGGGAGGCGATGGCGAGCACGATGGAGGCGGCGCAGGCGGTACTGGCGGCGTTCGACTCGTCGCTGTCGCGGCAGTGGCGCGACGAGGGCCGCCGCTAAAGAATCATGGCGACTTTTGTGTCGACTCGAAATTCTCCAGCTACGCGACGCGTCGCGCGGAGGAAAAAAAGTGTCCTACTAGAAATTTCGTACCTCAACCATCTGTAGGGACTTTCGCATCAAGGTTAGGTTAGACTAAATAAAAGGTGTACTTAGCTAAGCGCGCGGGGCAGCCGTAGCGATGGCGAGCACGATGGAGGCGGCGCAGGCGGTTCTGGCGGCGTTCGACACGTCGCTGTCGCGGCAGTGGCGCGACGAGGACCGCCGCTGGCGCGCGGAGGACCGCGAGTGGCGCGCGGACGACCTGGCGTTCCGCGAGGAGGAGCGCCGATGGTTCGGGGAAGAGGCGGAAATGCGGAGCGCGGAAATAAGGTGGGGGGAACGGGGAGAGGGGTGGTCGGGGGAAGGGAGGAGGAAAAGGGGGGTGTGGGAGGTGGGGGATGGGCGGCGAAGTGGGTGGGGGGGCTTGAGGGACGGTGAGGGGAGGGTGAGGAAGAGCGGTAGTGAGAAAGGGATGTGGATCAAATCTGGGTAAGTTTGTTCAGTGCTTCAGAGACACTCACTCTCTCACTCACACAAAGAATCACTCACTCACTTATGCACTCACTCACTCACGCGTTCACTCACCTCACTCATTCGCTCACCTACTCACTCACTTGATGTTCCTGTGTGTCTCATCTGCATTATCTGTTTGCCTTTTGGTGCATTCATGAATTCGGTCATTAGATTTTGAAATGTGCTGTACATACATGCTATATCGTTTACCACTTATGTACTGTACGATAAGTGTTGGGCACTGTGCACTGTGTGCTCTGTACCCTGCATTGCTGCTGGCATCAGGTGGAGGGAGGAAGACATAAACCAACGCCACGTGGACAATGCAAGATACCTTTGGGCCAGGTACAACGTGCTGTAGAATCAGGTGCAATCCCAGGTATAGAGGCAGGAATAACCAGGTGAAGTCAGGTAAACCCAGGTGAAATCAGGTAAAACCAGGTGAACGGTAGGAGTCGGGTGAACATGGCAAGTACTACAGCTGTGGTGAGCGTTCGACGCAGGTGAGCTTTGTGTGGCTGTGCTTCAACCACAACGCATGTCTTTAGCCAGGCATTCAGTCAGGAATTTAGTCAGGTATTCTGTCAGCCATTCAGTCAACCACTTCATACAGTTGACCCCAGGCAGGTACTGCTGTATCTCAAGTTCCTTTTTTTTCCCTCTTTCCCCAACCCCCCCTCCCTTAGCAGGTTTGCCAGGAATAACCGGCGGGACGTGGAGGAGTGGGCAGAGCAGTTCAAGGCGATGTTGACCCTCTCATCCACCCTCTCATTCCCATCTTCCTTCCTTCTCCTCTTTCTCGTGCTGTATCTACTCCATACTCCCCCCTATGCCATGTGATTAGGCGAGCAGCAGTCTAAAAGAAATCTTTAGCAAAGGATTAACAGGACAATCTGTTGTTGTTCCTGCTAAAAACAAGGAGTTTCAAGAAATTTGACTCGAAATTCCACTCAAAGATTAAAACGAGGCAAACTAGTTTCGGTGGACGGGACAGGCCCCAATCACACCTTCATCCGTGCAAGTGGAAATCATCATCCTTCCTTCTCCTCTTTCTTGTGCTGTATCCACACCATGCTCCCCCGGGTCACTGGTCATGAAGAAGAGCTGCAGCGTGAAGGATCCCTGCTGATCCACCCGACTCGTGCTGTATCTACACCATACTCCCCCCTCTCGTTCTTCCCTTGGCAGGTTTGTCGAGAAGAACCGGCGGGATGTGGAGGAGAAATCGGAGCAGCTTAAAGCGATTTCGAACCTTGCAGCACTGTTTGCTGGCTTCGCTGTAGTCACACTCACGCAGTTCCAAGTCACCCTCGACACCTCCCCTTTGGTAAGTCTATCTTGGTTCAATAAAAGCACCCACAGCTATAGTCACACTCGTTCACTCACTCCGTTTCTTCCTAGCCACGTTAGTCAGCTTCCAACCTTTAACGCTCCCCTCCCCCGTTTCTTAAGCCAACCCCACATTTTCTCACGCTCACTCAGGTTCTAAGTCATAGTGGAGACCTCCCAAGTGGTTAGGCTTTGATCGCAGCGCTCACTGGTGTGGCCCTTGTTCTTCGCAAATTGTGAATGCCACCTGATCTTTCAACCTTCCTTCTTCCCTCCGTCCCTCCCTCCCTCCGTCCCTCTCACTGTTCGTCCTCACTGCAACTGTGCTGTGGTGTGGGCTCCTGTTCTTCTCATTCTCCTCCCTTCACCAATCTCCGCCCATCCTTCTCTCCCCGGCGCCCACCCCTAACAGTGGATCATCGCTCTATACGGCATCCTCACTGCCATCTCGGTGAGTGGCTCGCCTTTCACCAGTTGCATAAAACAGGTGTGTTGTTTGGCGACACGACACGCACGCACACAGGCACACACACCTGCCCACCCCTAACAGTGGAACATCGCTCTATACGGCATCCTCACTGCCATCTCGGTGAGTGGCTCGCCTTTCACCAGTTGCATCAAACAGGTGTGTTGTCTGGCGACACGACACGCACGCACACAGGCACACACACCTGCCCACCCCTAACAGTGGAACATCGCTCTATACGGCATCCTCACTGCCATCTCAGTGAGTCTCCATCCTTCCCAGTTGCATGAAGCAGGCCCGTTGTGAGGTGAGTCAGGTCACACACACACACACACGCACGCACGCCTGCTCCCTGCTCACTGCCGCCTGCTGCCTGCCTGCCTGCCTGCCTGCTTTCTCTCCTCCCGTCTCGCCCCGCCCTGTCAGGTGTGTCTACACACGGTGGCCATGGTGCAGTGCACGCTCATCATGGGCAGTGGAGGGAGGGCGAGGGGTGCACTGATACTCTACTGCCTGCTGCCTGCCTGCTTCTCTACTCCCCTCTCCCTACTCCCACTTCAGGTCTGCCTGCACACAGTGGCCATGGTGCAGTGCACGCTCATCATGGGCAGCATATTGAAGAATGGCAAGGCCTACGTGGACGAGGACGCCGAGGAGGAGTTCATGTTCCGCTGCCTGCTCTTCGTGCGCTCCTTCTCATTGGGAGACAGGCCTCCCGCACCACGTCGCACGTTTGAGGCTTTCTGGGAGTACAGGTGAGCCTGGTGGGGGGATGTACACGTATAGGCGTTACCTAAAGGAGCACTTCATGTTCCGTTGCCTGCTCTTCCTGCGCTCCTTCTCGCTTGGGGACCGCCCTCCTGCGCCGCGGCGCACCTTTGAGGCCTTTTGGGAGTACAGGTGAGTGAGGCTATTGAAAGGCTAAGTTGCAAAATACGCTTATAGCGTATATACGCGTATCGTATATACGCTATACGCGTAAGGGAGCAATTTGGACATACGCTTTTTGGGGCAGGAAAAAAACTTTCCCGGGCAGGGAAAAAAATCCGCCCGGGCTATTATAGGGGGGGGTGGATCTAAGGGGTTATGTTTCAGAGGTAAGTTTTTCTCCATACTAAGATAACCACCCTCGACTCGGCCCGAAATCGGGTTAAGATGCAGAGTTCGTAGGCTATAGACTGCAATAGCGTTGCGCGAATCTGCTCTGCTTCGGGCTCGCAATCACAAGGCATGATTGCTAGAGTGTAGGAGGAGGCGTAGGAGAGATCCTGGACAGGGAAACCATCGCCAATGCTGGAATTCGTGCCCCACACCCATCGCCAATGTTGCCTTAAAAACCAATTCCCCCTCCCATCACCTATCTTCACCGCATTGCATCTATCTCATCCAACCAATTTGATATTTGAAATTTGTACAGTCGTCACGTCACTTCCAGTCCAGATCTACAAGACGTTGATATAGGGAGTCTTTCCCCCCATCCCCTCTGCGGGAAGAACCTTCAATCTGCGCGGATATGCGGGGAAGGGAAATTGCCGATCAGCGCGGAAATTGCCGTTCACTCTTGCACAAATCGCGGACGTGAATTTGACGGTGGCAAAATGCTCGTCGTGCAATTCCGCATCTTTCCGTATATTCACATTTTTTTCGGTCGGGCTGCCCCAAAAAAAATTGGCAAGCGTATAGCGTATTAGCTTGCGTTTAGCGTTTAGCGTGTAAACGCTAGCGTATATCCGCTAAACGCACAGTGTCCTGAGCGTATTTTGCAACTTAGTTGAAAGGTAGGGATGTTGCACAGGTGTTACCTGGTGGAGCTTCATGTGTGTTTTGAGGCGCCTCAAAACACACCTCGATGTTGCACAGGCGTTACCTGGTTGAGTGGAGGTACATGTGCGGTTCCGCTGCCTGCTCTTTGTGCCCTGCTTCGTGTGCTCCTTCTCGCTCGGGAACCGCCCTCCCGCGCACCGACGCATGTTTGAAGCTTTTTGGGAGTACAGGTGAGTACTTGGTGGGTTGTTGGTGGACAGGTGGGTATTTGCGTCTCACAGGCACGGTCTATTTGCATGTCACAAGGACTTGCACGACGTTACGTTATCAGGGTGTTGCGTGTCACAGGCATGGTCTAAGTGATAACTCTTTTTTCTTCGTTTGGATTCTAATTCATTCTTGCAATCTGGCTTGGTGCGGCAATTTGCGTTGCGGCATGATATGGGAACTGTGTGGGATGGCACGGGATCGGATGGGATGGCATGGCATGGCATACACATGTGTCAAACCCATTAAGGTGTGAAGATGACTGGCGCAAGGCATTCAACTACTTCACATGGGGTACGTTTGACCTTACAGACCCAATACCAGATGGATAGGGTATGCTTTAGCGCAGTATGGCATGTATATGTATGACCCAGCCCCTTCACTCTCCAAGGTGTAAAGATGACTGGCGCAAGGCATTCAACTACTTCACATGGGGTATGTCTCCCCTCCCGGACCCTATAGGGTATGCTTGGGTGGGGTATGTCTCTCCTCATGGTCCCTATAGGGAATGCTTGAGTGTGGTATGTCTCCCTTTCACCCTCCAAGGTGTGAAGATGACTGGTGCAAGGCATTCAACTGCTTCACATGGGGTATGTCACTGTCTGCCCACACGCATTCCCAATACGAAGTGGGTAGGGTATGCTTGAGTGCAGCATGGCACGAGCATGTTTCATGTATCACCCAATCCCATCGAACCCTTCAAACTGTGAAGATGACTGGCGGCGCAAGGCATTCAACTACTTGATAAAAGAGATGTTTGAGACGTCTCAAAACATCTCTTTTATCAGGTGGGTGGCGCAAGGCATCTCTTTTATCAGGTGGGTGGCGCAAGGCATCTCTTTTATCAGGTGGGTGGCGCAAGGCATCTCTTTTATCAGGTGGGTGGCGCAAGGCATCTCTTTTATCAGGTGGGTGGCGCAAGGCATCGCTTTTATCAGGTGGGTGGCGCAAGGCATCGCTTTTATCAGGTGGGTGGCGCAAGGCATCTCTTTTATCAGGTGGGTGGCGCAAGGCATCGCTTTTATCAGGTGGGTGGCGCAAGGCATCTCTTTTATCAGGTGGGTGGCGCAAGGCATCTCTTTTATCAGGTGGGTGGCGCAAGGCATCTCTTTTATCAGGTGGGTGGCGCAAGGCATCGCTTTTATCAGGTGGGTGGCGCAAGGCATCGCTTTTATCAGGTGGGTGGCGCAAGGCATCGCTTTTATCAGGTGGGTGGCGCAAGGCATCTCTTTTATCAGGTGGGTGGCGCAAGGCATCTCTTTTATCAGGTGGGTGGCGCAAGGCATCTCTTTTATCAGGTGGGTGGCGCAAGGCATCTCTTTTATCAGGTGGGTGGCGCAAGGCATCTCTTTTATCAGGTGGGTGGCGCAAGGCATCTCTTTTATCAGGTGGGTGGCGCAAGGCATCGCTTTTATCAGGTGGGTGGCGCAAGGCATCTCTTTTATCAGGTGGGTGGCGCAAGGCATCTCTTTTATCAGGTGGGTGGCGCAAGGCATCTCTTTTATCAGGTGGGTGGCGCAAGGCATTCAACTACTTCACATGGGGTACAATTGTGGCTTAGTTCGCTGTCAAGACAAAATGTGGCTAATTTTCATTGCAGCATCACACCTTTCCACTGATGCCCATCCTTTGACTTGTTTGACAGTCTTTTGACTAACATTGAAGCACTTTGGCCAGCTTTGGCCCAATCCAATAAATTTCCTCATCTTGGCCATTGCTACACCTTCCACATAGTTTTTTTCACTTAATGCTGCCTGCCCCTTCACTTCCTGTCCTCCAATCAATGCCACCCCATCTTTTCCTTCTGTCAGGAATCTTTTCATTCCTTCTCAGCCTCATTCCTATCGGGTAAGCTGTTGGAACTAATCTAGAGGTGCGGCAGGGGGGATCTTATCTCCTCCTAGGCTGTTACACCGCAATTCGGAACTAGACTTCTGTGCAACCGGACATTTTAGTCACACAGTTCCTATCATTGAGAACAAAGAACGGTATAGCAAATAGAGAAGAAGGAACAGGAGATGTAGTATAAGGTACACAACGGAGACTAACATTGCACTTGTATCAGCTACTCTACTGGTTCCCAGTCATATGTCAGCAAATTCATGGCTTTACAATTGTAGTCACGGCTTATCAATTGTAGTCCAGAGGCGGTACAGAGTGGGTGAGCCTACAAATAGGCTTATCCTTGCTCTTGACTTCCTGTGTGTAACGTCATTATTGAGTCCACTTAGAAGTCAACTTAAGATTTTTTTCATAACTTTCAAGCATCTGGAGTCCACGTAAAGGCCAAACTGTATAAAATCCCCTCTGCGAACCCACTCTTCCCCTGGCTGGATATTTTTGAAAATTCTCAAAAACAACCTACATGATCAAGGCTGCCCTCTTTTCCCAACATTGGGCCCACTTTTGAGAATACCTCTCACTGGGTTCACTCGATTCGTGACCCCAACACCGCTGTTCCAACTCTGTTCCCTACATTTCCACCCTCTGCCCCTACCGCCAACTTCGTCCGCTTTACCCCCAATTTGCTCATCTCCCCAACTCCCCCGCTTGCCCTCCTCTCCCCTCCTACTTCCAGGTGGATTAAATTCAACTTCTCAACCTTCATCCCAGCAGCGTTCACCGCCATTGTCATGTGCTCCATGGTGCTGTGGTGAGTGGTGAAGCGTCTCGGAAGCCGTGCCCCCATGTCCTCATCAGCCCCACATGGGAGCAGCGTTCACCGCCATTGTCATCTGGTCCATGGTGCTGTGGTGAGTGGTGCAGGGTGTATCTGAGGGGAAGGCTGTATCTGGAGCAAGCTGATGTGAGTGTTGTGCTCCGTGGTGCTCTGGTGATTGCTGGAAGGTCTTATAAAGCGGCCATGAGATGAGATGAGATGAGATGAGATGAGATGAGATGAGATGAGATGAGATGAGATGAGATGAGATGAGATGAGATGAGATGAGATGAGATGAGATGAGTGCCAAGCCCTACAGAGCCCCACATGGGAGCAGCGTTCACCGCCATTGTCATCTGCTCCACGGTGCTGTGGTGAGTATTTAAGAATTTTCACAAGTCACACGCCTCGTCCCTGTGGTGTGGTGGCAGTCATGCTCTGTCTGCGCACATTAGGTGTTTCGGCCAGATTGACCCGTGTGGACTGCTCATTCCCCCCCATGACTTGTGAGGTGCGTCAAAGCGCATTCCGCGCCATGTCTTGCTGATCTTTCCCATACGGACACACCGTCTGCTCTGGCATCAGAGGAGACTTTTGAGTCGACTCAAAAGGTGATTATTGACTTTTGAGTCGACTCAAAAGGTGATTATTGACTTTTGAGTCGACTCAAAAGGTGATTATTGACTTTTGAGTCGACTCAAAAGGTGATTATTGGCTTTTGAGTCGACTCAAAAGGTGATTATTGGCTTTTGAGTCGACTCAAAAGGTGATTATTGACTTTTGAGTCGACTCAAAAGGTGATTATTGGCTTTTGACTCGACTCAAAAGGTGATTATTGGCTTTTGAGTCGACTCAAAAGGTGATTATTGGCTTTTGAGTCGACTCAAAAGGTGATTATTGGCTTTTGAGTCGACTCAAAAGGTGATTATTGACTTTTGAGTCGACTCAAAAGGTGATTATTGACTTTTGAGTCGACTCATAAGGTGATTATTGGCCTTTGAGTTGACTCAAAAGTCGCCTCTTTCCCATAGGGACTCACCCTCTGCTCTGGCATCAACCCCCTCTTCCTTTTCCCCAATGGCTCACACTCACAACCTTCCCAGGACATAATCATTCCCCCCATCTAACATGCTTTTTTTGTTTTCTCACTCTTCCTTCTCATGTCACCACCCCTCCGCTTTCGCCCTCCCAGGGCGTACCAGCAGCTGTCATGGGGCGCCTATCTCACCAACGGTTGCCAGTTTCATTCACTTCAACTACCAAGGCAACTAAGTCTGCATAGCTTCCCCTCTCATCTCCCCTTCCCCCCATCCTTACCATCCCCCCAGGGCGTATCAGCAGCTGTCATGGGGCGCCTATCTCACCAAGGGCCGCCGCCAGTTCGACTCGCTGCTCTCCGAAGCCGAGGCCTTCCGAGTGCGCCCCTCGGGTCTCCCCTTTGACTGGCACATCGCCCCGGAAGCTTCCCGGAAGCGCAGCTCCTCGCGGAGAAGCCGGAGCGGGAGAGAGGGTGGGTCAAGCGATGCTGCTTCCACGGCTTTTGCAGACGGTGATGCTGGTCAGGAGTTGAAGCCTGGTTCGGGATTGGAGAACACGGATGGTAAGGCGCCCCGAACCTCGGCTTCTGGTTCGGGGAATGGGAATGTGAAGGCATCAGAGGATGGGGCTTCGGTTCTTGGGAGCAGTGGTGAGAAGGTTGGTCAAGGGCAAGGGGGTAAGAAAGTGGAGGAGGAGGGTGAGAGGGCAAGTATGAATGGAGGAATGGATAGTACTTGCAGAGAGAGGCGTGAACCTGGCCAAGAGGATTGTTTGATTGGTGGTGATAGTGGTGGTGGTGGCGGTGGTGGTGATAGTATTAATGTTGGTGATTCGGGTTTGTCGTTGGCTGGTGGTGGGAATGTGCCTCGTGCTGCGGTTGCGAGTAAAACAAAGAACGCCAGCAGCAGGGTTAGCAGTTGCGAGATCAGTGAGGTGCAGGAGTGACGTGCATAAAGTAATTGTACCACTGTCAAGCTCACGTATGTATGGAGTGTATCGGCAAGCTGTACTTTATGCCGTATGTTATAATGGTGTGTTATAATGTTATGCCATATGAAGATTGGCAAGCCAGATAGAAAAGGAGGCTGGTGGTGGTATTCCCATCCATCCTCACAGAGAACGACATAAAGGGCCGATCACATTATAAGGACGCACGTTGTTACAGTTGGTTGGATCGCTGTATCAAAACATATAAAGGCGGATGGATTGCTGCCAAAAACTTTCACATTATCCAGCTGCTACCATTCACTGTTGTTGCTTGCACGTTACCTCCACATCTCTCCAATCCAAACCTTATACTCGTGCCAGGCTGACTCAACTATTCGCTTCATGCCGTTAAAGTAGCCTCAGTAACTTAGGTCTAGGAGGCTAGGCTTAGTGTCGAGAGTAACATGACGAGGGGAATTGAGAAGGGATGGGTGAACTAGGAATGAGGGGGATACACATGTGTAACTCTAGAGTTGTATCCCCTCTAAGGGAAGCTCCACTACAGCCTACACAAAACATATAATGTTTGACACACCCCCATAGGCAAAGTGGGCGATAGCTAACACAACTAGCGGTCACAAGACCAGTCACGCAAGAGAATAAAGCAAAGCAAAACTCAGGGTGGACCTCAAGGATACCACACAGTCCGAGCACAAGCAAACGGCCACAAGGCCAGTTCACAAGTGGAGTTATAATAGCAAGGCACTACATTGATCACAACCTGGCACGTGTAAACATGCAAGTAGAAGCATATGTATAAGTGTACAACAAGTGCAAGACAAGATCAAGAGACAAGCAGGTGAGGCAGCGTGGGCATAAGCCTAAGAGCAGTGCAAAAGCGCTGATGATCACTAGACCCAAGGGCCTTGATGAAGACATCAGCAGTGTTGGCCCGAAAAGCCACGTAGGAAAGGCGAAGCTGACCACACTGCTGCAGCTCGCAAGCAAGAAAGTAGTGAAGAGAAATGTGCTTCGTTCTGTGCTCCAGTCTCTGCTCGCGACACAAGTCAAACATGGCCTTGTTGTCAACGTACAGAACTGGAGAAGAACGAGGCCGCTCCCCCAAGACGGTCAACAGGAAGGCCAGCAAGCGTAGCTCCTGTGCAGCCATAGCCCCAGCGTAGATCTCGGCCTCACAGTTAAAACCAAGCACAGAAGACGAACATGTAGACCTCCACGAGATAGAACGAGAACCAAGACTGAATGTGTAACCCTGTGACGATCGCTGAGTCGCCTGGTCGTCGGCCCAGGAAGCGTCAGAGTGCCCTGTGAGAACCACTGAATCCCGTCCTCCAAACACGAGCCCGATGCCCGATGTACTGCACAAGTAACGCAGTACCCTCTTCACAGCATCCCAGTACACCTTTCTGTGTCTACCAAGAGCCACGTAGCGAGCTAGGAGGCTGAGAGGGTACGCGAGGTCTGGTCGCGTACATGTCATTAGGTACATGAGGCAACCCACAAGCTCTGGATACGGACCACTTGGCTCTACAGACTCGTCCGAAGGTGGAGCTGAGAGCGAGTGTTCTGTGGGCAGAGGAGTGGGCTGTGGCGTGGAGATCTTGAAGTTGAAGCGTTGAAAGACCTAGTGCACCATGTGTGACTGCGTCAGGGTGATGGTGCACCGTGCTCTGTCCCGGGTGATCTTTAAGCAAAGATAACTCAGTGCAGGTGTGTTTCTCCTACAGCTCTGTCTTCACTAGGGTCAGTGCCTCAGTGTCAGCAATAGCAGAAACCAAGTAGTCAACGTACATGAGGACGTAGAATGGCGGTAGAGAAGTGTCGGTGAGTAGAAACAGCAACGGGTCAGCAGAGTAAGGAGCAAACCCAAGAGCCGCAAGTGTCATCCTCAGTGTGTCATGCCACTCGCGAGGCGCCTGACAGAGACTGTAGATTGGCCATCGAAGGCTCCACTGGGTACCCGTAGAAAACGACCCAGTGAAGCCAGGTGCGCGGCGCAGTCAGATCGTCTCGTGAAGGCTGCCCTGAAAGAAAGCTGTGCTGAAGTCAAGAGAGTGCATCTTGTAGTCACACTGTGCTGCAACGTGCAGCAACACCTAAAGAGTAGTCATCTTCAGGGTGGGGGAAAAGGTTGGGAAGAAGTCGACCCCCTATCGCTGACTGAAGCTTCGAGCAACGTAACGCGCCTTGAAGGTAGGCGGAGAGCCCGGCGGCCGCTTCACTCTAAAAATCCACATGCCATCGACTATGTTCGCCTCAGGAGGAGGAACCTTGTCCACGTAGGTGCCTGTGGAAGAAGCCATCTCTGCGTCCATGGCTGTCTGCCACTGAGAGGAGTATTCACCCGCGATCGCCTCAGCGTAAGAGCGCGGGGTAGGGATGTCAAGAGCATTCGGGTCTCCCTCAGGGCAAAGCAGCATGCATGCGAAACGTGGTAAAGTGGCTGCAAGATACTCAAGCTCAAACTGCCTGTCCTCAAGGACATCACTGCCAAGGGCAGGCTCACCCCCGACTGACGGAGGACAGACCGGCTTAGACTTAGTAACAAGACTCGCGACGTAGTCAAGATGACTCCTAGTAGCAAAGTCTACTAGCTTAGTGACTAGGGCAAATGTAGCAGAAGACTCAAAGTTAGGGTCAGTGATTGCAGTAGCGAGGAGATGAGTGACAGCAGGACTGGCAGCACGAGCAAGGTCAAACTCAGGGTCAGGCACATCAGGAAGAGAGGACGCCGGAGGATATGGCAGGGCAACACGCTGTGGAACACAGGAAGGACGAAGTGCCATAGCGTGAGTGCCTAGGACAGCAAGAGGACGAAGACAGGCGACACGACGAGCACGAACAGGTATGGAGGCACGAGACGTAGGCTCACGATGCTCAGTCAGGGAGTCTGGCAGCTCAGTGTAGGGAGAAGGAGTAGGGGGTGGGGAGCCAAGTGGCAACTGCGATTGAGACGAGCCAGACGGTGGACACAGGAGAGGTGGAGTGAGGCCAGTGGAAGATGGGAGACTAAGAACCTGGCGAAGGGCCGAGGCAGGCGGTGGCAGGGACGATTGCTGCTGTGGGTAAAAAACGGTGAGCGCGGCGCAGTACCCGGACCGTCAGCAGCTCCAGCACCTCCAGTACCTCCAGCTCTAGCACCTCCAGTAGCACCTCCAGCACCAGCAGTACCACTAGCTCCGGCAGCTCGAGCACCTCTAGTACCTCCAGTACCTCCAGCTCCAGCGCCTCAAGCACCAGCAGCACCTCCAGCACCCCCAGCACCAGCAGCACCACCAGCTCCGCCAGCTACAGCACCTCTAGTACGAGCACCTCCAGGACCAGCAGCTCCACCACCTCTAGGACCTCCAGCACCTCCAGCTCCAGCGCCTCTGGCACCAGTAGTACCTCCAGCACCTCTAGCACCAGCAGCTTCAGTAGTACCTCCAGCACCAGCAACACCTCCAGCACCTCCAGCACCAGCAGCTCCGGCACCTGCAGCACCTCCAACAGTACCTCCAGCACCAGCAGCTCTAGCACCTCCAGCAGTACCTCCAGCACCAGCAGCTCCACCAACAGCAGCACCTCCAGCAGTACCTCCAGCACCAGCAGCTCCAGCGTCTAGGAAACTCCAAGCTCCAGCACCAGAGCGGCCTTGCCGAACGACCCACTCACGAAGCAGTTGTGCTGAGGGCATCTCTAGTCAACTAGGCGGCTGCTGCTGTCCAATGCCAAGACCTGCAGTAGGAGCATCCACGGCCCCACCACCACTAGGACTCGCACCACCCCCAAAGTCAACACCCCCAGAGTCAGCACCCCTAGAACCCTCACCCCTAGTCTCAGCACCCCTAGTCTCAGCACCCCCAGAACCCTCACCCCCAGTGTCACCACCCCCAGCAGCACCAGTGTCCACAGCTACAGGCTGCAGAGGCGGCAAAGGAGGTCGAGGCGGAAAACCAGGAGGGGTCTCCAAGCGTGGAGAACGGAGAGTGGCCGCCGTGTCGTCACCGGCGGGGTCACCCCCCTCAGCAGGGCCAGAGGAGTTAGAAGAGATCTCTAGAGGCTCAACAAAGAAGGGTGGGTCTACCTGAGACACACCTGAGGGAGTAGGACCCTGTGGGGGGAGAGGGAGTCTATCGAGGGGGGAACTGGTACCAGGAAGAGTGGCGCTAAGGGGACCGGGTGGGACGCGTGCTGGTGGAGCCTATAGAAATAGACGGACTCGTCAAAGGTGGCCGCCTGGGAGGACAAGACTCGACGCGTGGGAGGGAAGTAAAACTGCCATGGTGGGGCATCAGTGGGGAAGCCTAGGAAGGCGCAGCGGAAAGTGCAAGGAGAGAGCTTGCTCGCGGTGGTATTACAAACAAGGGAGAGCGCGCCCCAGACCCGAAACACCGACGCATCGCCAACCTTTCCCGTCCAACAGAGTGTGGTCGAGGTCTCTGGCAACGAGACACGGGGCCAAAGGTTGAGCTGATGCGCGGTATATTGGACCGCAAACGGCCACAGAAAATGGGGAGCAGCCGCATGGATCATGGAGGTACGAGCAACCTCCATGATCAAGCCAATGCGATGCTCAGCAATCCCATTTTGTTGCGGAGAGGCCGGAAGCATGAACGTCTGGCGGGTGCCCTCGTTTCGACAGAACTTCGCAAGGAAGCCGGAAGAGAACTCACCACCCCTGTCAGAGTGCAGACGCAGGACTCAAAGGCCCGCCAGATCCAGGGGATCATTACACCGCTGACGTCCGCCTTGCTGCACAAGGGGAAGACAGTTGCATAGCACATGTAGTTGTCAACAACCAGCAGGAATTGGCACTCCTGGTTCATCCCACTGATGGGGGCAAGGCCCCACACATCCATGTGGAGAGTCTGCAGAGGAGCAGTAGTCGGAGGGGCAGGCGAGCGTGAGAGGGGGGGCAGGGACCTAGGGAGGCCAGGGACAAGGAGACGGGAGTGCATGCTGCGGAGACGTGGAAGAGAGGGATGACCGAGTCTGTGGTGCCAGAGGAGAGTCTGGTGGGAGAGTACCCAACACGAGCACGACGTAGCGAACTGACTAGACGCAGACACCTGACTCGACGCAGCCACCTGAACTGACATAGCCACCTGTGCAGACGCAGTGGTAAGGGTGTACAGACTGAACCCAGGCTGTCGAGTGAACGTAGCAAGGTGAAGGCTAGTCCGGGAGCACGTACAAATTGCCACACGCTGCCCTCCAGGAGTAAAGGTATTAACCCAAACATCCTGAAGAACTGCGTTGCTCGCCAAGCTCCTCGAGAACGAGGGGAGGTGGAGGCCTGAAAGAGAGCCAGAGGGGACTATTGGACACGGGAGGACAGTGGAGGCTCGTGCGACGACGGGGCCCCCAGAGGGGTCAGCCAGTG